ATTCTTCTGGAAATTTTGAAATACATTTAATGCATGAAAATTCATAAGAAACCAACGAAATTGTCTTGTTTTCGACGGTCATATCTTAGCAGAAAGGTGAACCTTTTATTGTTTTCTTTTCAATGTGCTGGAAAAAAATTCAAGTTTGTCGGATCTTAGAAAACATAATAGTTAATAACTGAATGCTTTTTGAATGAAGTGATTTATTTTTATAAGAAATATGTCCATCTATTCGATGTCAATCTTATGAAGAATTTTATTCCTTTTTGTTTGTTTCTATCACTCATAATAATCTATCAGCCGATAAACGGCTAGCTTTATCGGTCAATAACCAACAAGCCGTTTGCTTGTGTATAAATTTAGTCTTGTTATTTATTTGCACCTGAAAATAGGAGTTTTTCAATGCTGGATTAATCGAATCAAATATACGCATACCAGTAAAGTTTATTTTTTCAGTTTTAATTTCATCAACGCTTTGTGTCATTGCCATATCTTTATTCTAGATATAGATATACTGCGAGAAATAACTCTCAGAAACTAGAAATACCTTTGTAATCTCTATATGATAAGTTTTTTTTTTGCATGTTATAGAAGTTTCATGTAATTTCTATGAAGTTTTTTGATACGCATTAAATCTGTCTCTTGAAGTCTTGTGAAGTCCTATGAAGTTTTATGAAGTCTTATGAAGTCTTATGAAGTTTTGCGAAGTCTGGCAAATTCTTGTGAAGTTTTATGAAGTCTTGTGAAGTCTAATGAAGTCTTATAAAGTCTCAAGAAGTCCTACAAAGTCTGTGAAGTCTCACAAAATCCGTGAAGTCTCATGAAGTCCGTGAAGTCTCACGTAGTCTGTGAAGTCTCACGAAGTCTTTGGAAGTCTTTTGAAGTCCTCTGAAGTCCCATGAAATCCTATGAAGTCTTGTGTAGTCCCTTGAAGTCCTATGAAGTCTTTAGAAGTCTTTTGAAGTCTTGTGAAAATATGAAGTCACTATGGTTGAAGTCCGTTGAAGTCTTTTGAAGTCTTGAAGTCCGCTATTTCCCCCTTGTATTCCACAAAATTGAATAGTACGCAGAACCAAGTAGAAGAAAAGTTGATATTATTTAATTCTGTTTTTCTAATAGAGATTATATGCAAAGATCCATATCCATTACAAAGTGTCTCTCAGACTGGAAAAACACCAGTTGCTTTAGTAGCTGGTGATTTTAGAAATATCGGCATAATCGATCTAGTCGTGCTTAATTACGATGAACAAAGCGTTGATTTACTTCTTGGTAATTCCAAGAATACATATCAGACTGAAATTATCCATGATACAGGTTCTGCTCCAAGTTTTGCATTCACTCATGATATCAGCGGTGATGGATTGCCTGACATTATAATAACGAATAAAAACGATGGAACAATAAGTGTTCTTCTTGATAATCCAGGTGATTCATTTCAATCAACGACCACTTATGCAGTTGGGCAAAGTCCTGTGTCAGTGGTAAGTGGTGATTTCACTGGTAACGGTGACTTTGATGTAATAGTCGCGAACTATGATGATAATACTCTTCGCTTGTTATTTGGTACGGCAGGTCGATTTTCTGAAATATTTCTTACTATTACAGTTGGCTTGCAACCAATCTATATCACATCAGGTGATTTTAATCTGGATGGGAAACTTGATTGGGCGGTTGTCAATTATGGAGATAATACTATACATGTGGGTATCGCACGTGGCTTTGGAATTTTCGAAAATTCACAGATTTATAAGGTTGGTGATCATCCAATTGCTATTGCAAGCACAGATTTAAACCATGATGAAATATTAGATTTGATTGTGGTAAACTATGGCAATAATAACGTAGGTGTATTGCTTGGCAATGATGACGGAACGTTTCAAGCTCAAATATCTTACGGTGTTGGTATTGGTCCTAATGATATTGTTATAGCCGATTTCAATAATGATGCAAAGATGGATATAGCATTAACTCTTTTGAATGAATCTGTTGTAAGCGTGCTCTTCGGAGATGGTAATGGAGGTTTTCGAAAGCCTGACAAGTTTAAAGTCGGTAGTTCTCCCAGTTCTCTGACAGCAAATGATTTCAACAGAGATGGTATAATAGATCTAGCGGTGACTAATTCTGGGGAAAATACATGGGAGATATTGATTAATTTGGGTAATGGAACATTTCGAAGTGACTTCCGCTATGCCAGTGGTTCGAATCCGGTGTCGATCGTTGCAGCTGATTTTAGTGTCGATGGCTTGATGGATGTGATGGTAATCAGTCAAGGAGATAATATTGTTTCTCTAGTATTAGGCAATGGAGATGGTACTTTTCGCTGTCGAATACCCTACAGACGTCAGATGCAAAGCACTTGGATGACAACAGGCGATTTCAATGGAGACCGGAATTTAGATCTGGTATTGACAAATGCAAACAATCAGAGTATTAGCTTAATTTTTGGTAATGGACATGGTACCTTTCATTCTGAAATATCATATGAAATCAATGTTTCGTCGTCTTTCATAGTAGCTTATGATTTGAATAATGACAATAAACTAGATCTAATTATTGTCGCTAACAAAAATGATAGCGTTATTATTGCGCTGGGTAATGGAGACGGAACATTTCAAAATAGAACAAGGATGAGAACTGGTAGTCAACCATCTTCTGTAGCAATAAATGATTTCAACAACGATCAAATACCAGATCTAGCTGTGAGCAATTATGGCACTCAAACTGTCAGCATCCTATTAGGACGTGGAAACGGTAATTTTCAGTTTCAAAAGATGTTTCAGTGTGGTGTTAATCCGAGTTTTGTTATATCAGCAGATTTCAATCTTGATCACAACATGGATCTTGCAGCAGCCAATCTAGGAGAAAATAGTTTCAGTATTTTATTGGGCACAGGCAATGGAAGTTTCCTAGATCAAATTAAGTATCGTGCTGCAAGAGAGCCAGTTATTATAATGTCGGATGATTTCAACGTTGACAACATTACCGATATAGCAGTAGTCAATCGACTTTCGGATAATGTAGAACTATTCTTTGGTGACATAAATATGACGTTTTCAAATATAAAACAATATGGAACAAATGATAAACCAAACCCTGCAGTTGCCTATGATTTCAACAAAGATGGAAAAGTTGATCTTGCTGTGCTGCACACGCGTTCTAACGAATTAAATGTTTTTCTCAATCAATGTGCATGAGTGCTCGTACGAGGACTATGGAGAAGTGTATTCGTTGATGATTCATGAACTAAATGAAATAGCAATAAACTATGCTATTTTTAAATGGTCTTTTGTCTTATTTAACATATTAACTTTTTCACAAAAATAAATTTTTCGGAAAAAAAACTTGTCCAGTACGTTGTGGCTTCATGTTGCCATTTGGCAACAGCTGGCCGAAAAGAGACAAAAAAAATTGAAATTTTTTGTTCATTTTCCGAACTCACAATTCACTATTTAGTGCTTTTTCATTTATTAATAAGGTAATTACGATCACAAAAAAGTTCAGTTATGCGCAGAGAAACGAGACAAACAAATAATAAAACAAAAAAGTAGAATCAGCGTTATTTCAGAAAAGACACATTAATTATGATAATTAGCAAAACAGTTAGTTTTTTTGTTCAAGCATAAACGAACATTACATTTGGAATATGATATTTTTGTATAACCATAACAGGTATTATTTCGACAACGTCCTTTTGATGTTATTGTAGGTCAATGATCATATTTGTCAAATCGTGTACTTAAAGGTGGAGCTGAAGTTGGTGTAACTCGTAAATTTGGTATTGAATTATTTTCATTTAATTTTGATTCTGATGATGGTCGATCACGTTTTATGATAGGTGGTGGTGAACTGAATTTAAGTAAAACAGTAGGAATATTTATGCGAAAATTCAATAAAGACATTATATTCTTTTTTTAAAGCTTTAGTTGTAAACAGTGGCATTGATACAATAACCATGCATTAACAACTGACAAATCAATAAGATGAACGATGATTTTTATATAATACTTTTTATAACTGACATTTATTCGATACAAAGAAATTAACATGTCGATTAAATCGACTCCTCCCATATGTTCATTGTACGCCTGTATGACCTTTGGTCGTTCTATGAGAATATGCTTCTTTTGTTTTGATGACCATCGTTGCACTAAATCAATCGGTTTACAACCGTACAATGTGGAAAGATAATTAACAGCATTATTATCATACCATCGTGTCGTGCATAATTAAACTCCTTCAACTTTCGTGACACGATGATCTATTGCATCCCTACCTTCCTTTGACAAATCTTTTGCATTTTTGATATTTAAATCAAATAATCGATTTGATCTTACCGTACTAACTGTAAAAATGCCTAACTTTCCCAACTCTACCTATAAACGAATTATTGTAAAATAATTGTCAAAATACACTTTGTGATTGACAAAATGTGGCACAGTTTCACAAAGATTCAATACAACATCTGTACAGAATCCATACTTCTCTTTATTATTTTTACCTGTGTAGAAAATAAAGTCATAGCATATATCACTTTCGCTACCAGCTAAAAGAAACATTTTATAACCCCAATGATTCGGCTTATTCGGCATATGTTGCTACATTGTACTTTTGCCTTTAAATGGAATGATTTGTTCATCAATACTTAATTTGTCTTCTTTTGAAATTTTCCTAAAATTTTCCTTTACAATATTTAATAGCGGACGAATTTTATTGGCTCGATCTGACTGAACTGAATTATCGGTAACGTGTAAATATTTTTTGATTTCAAGAAATTGATCTCTACGCATAACTGAAGATATAGACTCAACACGTGTATCACTGGACCAAAAATACCGTTGTTCTGGAAAAGAATAAACACCTATCATCAACAGTATACCAATGAAATGTTCCGTTTCTGTTTCAGAAATACGTACCGGTTTGGTAGGATTCTTTCGGACAGAATATAGATTTGATTGATTTGTCAAGAGTGTCGTTGATTGCTTACCGAACATAAAATAAAACTAGTTAATCGGTTGTAGTTCATCACGAATAGGTGATGGTGGTACATTGTCAACAAAATCAGCTACTGGAACTGCAATCTTTTTTTTGAACTAATCCATTCTTTTCTTCTTTTTTAATTTTTGATGACTTTCGACCTTTTCTTCACTTTCTTCAATATCATTTGCTTCACTATCACTTTCACTTATTGAAGATTTTTCGCTCATATTCAGTTCGTTCCATAAAGTAAGTGTCACATTATTCATTTCATCGTCAGAGTCAAATGAGTCCACCTCATCTTCACTCAAATCATTTGGTATAATAGCATTTCTTTTAGTTCCTTTAGCAGTCATTTTTAAATAAAAAAGAAATTTCAATAGACAATATTTCTTTTTTTGTTTATAATCGTTACTAAAGATAAATAGTTATATGTATATATATACCAGAGATGTCCATCGCGGCTAAGAATTTGCCGCTGCCGCACCGCTGCTGTTTAAAAAACATGATGCCACGCCGCTACCGCACCGCGGCTTACTGAAAAAAAAATCTGCCGCTGCCGCGCCGCGACCGCGATAATACAAAAAATATAGTCTAGAAAATGTGTTCGTCTCTAAAATAAAAAAAATATGTATTATAAAGCTCATGAATTACTGCGCCAAATACAAGGGTGAAAAACAGATTCCGATAGATTCTATGAATTCTATAGATTTCAAAAGAACATTAATAGAGTGCGTAATAAAATTGTCGGACTCTTCAAAAATCGATCAGAATCCACTTAATAAATATTCATCATGAGGAAAACTACAAAATGATAAAAACAAATTTATTGTATTATTCAAAGATGTTAAGTAATGTGCGATGCAAAAGTTTTTGCACAAATGCCAAACCCTGTTAGACTATATTATCAACTTCGGAATCAATCAAATTTTTTTGTTAGAAAGAGCAAAGTCTGAACTACAAATTTTGTATGAGACATATTTTTCCAGAATGAATCTGAGACGGAGGAAAGCCAAAAAGCAAATACCTCCAAAAAAGTTTTTGCAACGCTTTTTGCAACTTGAAAAGTCTGTATTTCTCAATTATTTTAAGCTACATGGGTCAGATTTGAAGAAAAAATACACCAAAATGTGGCGCATCAAAAATTCTATCGATATCAGCTTTGAGAAACGTTTTTGGATCCATTCTTGACTCTTTAATCAAAAAAGTTTGAAACACGAAATTTTTGCAAAGTTAAGCCTTATTCAAGAACTATCGGTTTACAAAAGTATCAGCCATCATCTGCAGAAATCATGCATGAACTGAATTCTTTTCGCGTTATTTGGTCGAAATATATCTAATCGTAGAATTTTAGCAGAAAAAAATATATTCAAAAAATATTTTTTATCCTTGTAAAACGGTCAAGTAGTGAGAACTACCAAATGACTCAGTCTCTTCCAGAAAAAGCTATTTATTGATATAAAAACTAAGAGTAGATTTAACTTCCACTACATCATTAGAATGAGCAATATTTTTACTACAAAAATCATCGTTGAACGTGTTTTCTCACCCCTCTTCTAATATAAAAAAAGCTAATAGAAAATGATGTTGCTCGATGGTGAAGTTGCAAGAACTTTTTTAAAGGTGTTTGCTTTTTGGCTTTTCCTCCGTCTCAGATTCATTCTGGAAAAACATGTCTCATACAAAATTTGTAGTTGAGACTTTGCTCTTTCTAACAAAAAAAATTTGATTGATTCCAAAGTTGGTAATATAGTCTAACAGGGTTTAACATTTGTGCAAAGACTTTTGCATCGCTCATTATTAAAAACGCGTATCAATTTTTTTAACATATATTGTTTTTATTGTGCCTATGAAACGAGATTGAAAATGATAAAAACGTACGTCAATTAAAACAGAGCAGCATACATATTCTATAACTGCTATTAACATGTTTTCAAATAACATCATTTATTTACACAATATTAATAGGTCTCTTTCTGTCAGTCGGTGGAATAGCCTTAAAAGTCTGTTGATCGAGAAAAACATGCTCACTAATCTGAATCACGACAGAATTATAATTCCAAGCCTTAAGATTTATTCGAAAAAAATTGGAGAAATATTTCGAAAATTTTAACCGCTGCCGCGCCGCGCTATGAAAGCCAAAGTTGATAAATTGCCGCTGCCGCACCGCTGCTGCTGTCATACTTTTAAACATCCACCGCGCCGCTGCCGCTGCCGCGATGATTTCGCAAAAAATTCGTCGCTACCGCTGCCATGGACATCTCTGATATATACTTAGAAATCGAAAATGAAATGCAAGTTATGCGTAGAATCTATTGCCTATTTATAGTAGCATCCAAGAATGAAAAAGAGACCGCAAGAGAAAGAAAATTGTTTTCTCCAATAGATAGTTTCAGTGGTAGATGGCGCAACTATTTTTTAGTGTGGACGGATATGGAATCAGAGAACATTTTTTTTTACAGAGAAGACAGAAGCTATATTGTTCTAATAAATCAGAGATTTTCTGGAATGATGCAAAGGATTAGGAAGTTTATTACATTTTGGTGGGAAAAATGCATTAATCTATAGCATGAGGAGGTCATAAAAGAATTATTTTTTATCCAAACGCAGCATATACTCATGGGACTTCGCTAGAATGTTTTACTTTAAATTTTCATAGAGAAAGAAAAAACTTCGAAACTATTGTCCCTTTTCGGCCGGATGTTGCCAAATGGCAACATGACTGAATTTTGTTATTCGAACACGATGAGTAATTCCCATTAAGAGTACTACATATAGCAACTGTACTAAGGAATATTACCAACGAGTCACCTCTGGCATAAGGCATTCAGGTTTGAGAGGAAATTACTGTAAAGATTCTGGTGCATCAGAGAAGCATTTCGAAAGGACTGAACCAAAAGCTCAGAGAAAAATTTATTTTGATGTCTGTGTTACTCAATATACGTTGAAATGTATGATAGTAGTTATCAAATTACCAAAATAATAAATAACATTATCTTACGCGAATCTTCTATCATAAATTGGCTCAATGTTATCAAATGGCAACATCCGGCCGGAAAGGATTAGTCTAGAATTTGCTATTATTGCTTTACGATCCTTGTTATTAGAGAAGATACAAACAGCAATCATTTTTTCTTCTTTTTTCGTCATCCTTCTTATGTAGTCACAGATACATGTTCACTCTACTATACCTTATGTACTATTGTCAAGGGGAAAATAGCGAGACTTCATCTACTTCCGAAGTTTTGAAGTAAGAAGGAAGTACGAGGAAAATATGAGGAGGTACCAGAGAAGTACGAGAAAGTACAAGGGAAGTCCAAAGGTAGTACGCACTTTCGAAGTCTCGCTCCTTCGCCCTTGACTATTGTATATAAAGATCGATCAGTCATATTTCTTTCCTTTCATCCTCTTCCATTCTCTTTTTTCCCCAAATCCATGTACATCCATAAAATAAAATATTTCAAATCATCTTTATTCTCATGATAACTCCAGCTGAACCAAAGAAGATATATCCACTACCTTCATTGTTCTTTGTTAACGCCATGTCTTCATGGTTCTTTTCTCTTTTGTTTATCACTGTGTATATAATAGCTGATCGTATGGATAATATTACAATTAAAAAGGAGCTTCTGATCAAATAGAAAAAGTCTTTATGTTACATTCAATCTTAATTGCAGAGAAGAGTCTCTGTAATGTTTTTACTGCATCGAAAACTGAAAAACCAAGAGAGCTATGCAATGTTCAGACATGATGAATGCACTGTAAAATGGATACGCTACTCGTAGGTCTTAGTCGTCACTTCATGTGCTTTCGGCATGGCTTCACTGAGTCATTTGCACTATAAAAGGCATCTAAGATCATGTTTTTTTCTGAGTTGTTAGCATTTCATTTTATATGAAGATGCGTTTCGATGAGAGTCAACATTTGGAAGCTACATAGTAGACCGTGCTCATTTAAAACACATTTGAGCTACTTTGAAAAGTGCTGTGGAACGAGTCCATCTAAGAGATGCATTTTCCCCTCGCTACATGCTTCAAAACTCGATATTATTCGTCCATAATACTGAGCATTCCATCTCGAAAATACAGCTTATAACACTCATTTTGAAAGCAGATGGTAGAAGAAAAGTTAAAAGTTTAGTAGCGATAAGATATTATGCAGCCTAGTGAGTGAAGGATTGAGAGAACATGGAAGAGGAAAAAAATGAAATCTTTAGGAAGGATGGGTAGAGTGATGGTGTAGTCGCAAGAACGAAGTTTATGCTGATGGTATGGATATGAGAGTATGAGATTGAAGATGTACAAGTGATAGCTACTGATGTGTAAATTTATTATATTACAAGTGATATCTATTATTTTTTTGCTAGACTATGTACTTATGAAAGACTGTTCTATTTTGATAGATCATCCAAAAACTTTCAGTAGCATAAAATGTCTTTTAATAAAAATTGTGATGCAAACAAAGACAGAAGAATAGAAAGAAATTGCTAAACGTTGTGGCTACTTGCCTTACAGGCATATCTGAGCGAAGAGCACGGTCATTGTACCTCCTAGCCAGAAAAAATCCATAGAAATAAATTCAACAATAGTAAAAAACTAAGTGTGACATTCGATTGAGTGATATTGATGGTATATGGAGATAGTATTCTTCCAACACTTTTCTATGCGATGGTGGACTTTTATGATATAAAAGAAAGTCAGCATATCGATAATGGTTTTAATTACGAAAAATGTTGCTCTCCACTTTTCCACAAGAACGTAATCGGGGGAGAGTGTGGGTGGTTTCATTTGATATAACCATACACCTACACCCACACCCTACAATAAAAGTCGAAGTATCGTTGTTATATTCAAGTGCTTTAGTACAGTCTCACGAAATGTTTAAGTATCAAATAGAAGGGACACTTGACTATGTCAACTATATTGGGACTTTTGCTGTACTGTTTACAATATACTGTTCAGAAAATCTCTATACTTGCTGATAAAGAAGTAACTGAGAGATGTGCAATTAAATGATGTAAATGTGATAAAATAAGTAATATAGATACATGGATAGAAAAAGGCTTTTGAAGGGAAAAAACTCCATTTTATAACAAAAAAGCTGTTAACACAATCCCTGCGGGATTAAAATGTGAAATACGATACAGCTGTTGTTACTAGTCACACGAATATGTTTTCTTCGATATCTTCGGATCCGTTAATAAATCATTTTTTATTAATTCCTCTGAAGCTGCAACAAGAAAACAATTGACATATTTCCATGAAATTCTAGCGACATTTAATTGTAGTTCATATAAGAACAGGTCTATCTATTTCTGTAATGGATACTGGATTTTCTCTGTCACGGTCTGTGGGAGGAGGGGGGCGGGGGTGGATCCAAATTTCTACCCTATACACTTCAACACTCCTTTTAGATCGTGTTTCATAAAAGGTATTCTTCAGAAATTAAAACACATCAGTCTTGTGGTCCATATTAAGAACCATCGAAATCACTATTCCGATGTCATTATCGAATGGCTTTTCACAAAGAAAATTAAAAAATAGAAAAGCACCTTTAACTTTTAATTCTCACTTTACAAAATATTTGCTGTGCCTAACATACACTTCCCGAGGTCGCACAATCCCATTATAGAATCTTGTAAGATTTTTACAAGACCATAGAGGAACTTACGGTATGATCTTGAACGATTTTATATGCCAATCCCAGGTCAAACAATCAGACAGTAAGATTCTTGAAAGACCCTGTTACCTTGTAAGATCTTTCGCGAATCTAATAGTATGATCTGATGCAAGATTTCTTAGACGGCGATTTTTTGTCAGATTCTTATAAGATTTCGCCCAGATTGCAAGATCTTTCATGCAGATGACAAGATCTTACGTCAGATTTTCCGACCTGGGATGTTAAAGCTATCTAGGTCATGAAATCAGAGGAAATCTTATGAAAATCGTACGAAAAATCATCATCTCTGAAATCTTACACAATATTGTATAATAAGAGTCTTGAAAGATCTTGTTGCTTTGTAAGATATCACTGTAAGGTAATGGGAAATCTTATGTGACGATAAGATCTTTCAAGAATGGTATAGTATACGACTTAGTATAACATTTCATCTGATGTTATAAGATTTTACATCTAATTTTTCGACCTGAGTCCTATGCTCAGTAAGATCTTATACGATCATCGTAAGATGTTTTTTTTTCGCGTGAGCTGTTTTCCATTTTGCTGAATTTTTAAATGGAAAAATAGAAAATCTAACTTATTCTTTTATTTTACTTTTTTTTACCATGTGTTCTCCAATTTCTCTTTGATAATATCAGAGAAGTAAACGAAAATGTATTTTTTGTTTATTATCTCTATTGATTATTGATAATTCTTGTTTATTAAACAAATCAAAATTGTTCTTTCTGTTTTTCTAATATATTATTTAAACGAACTTCGTTATTGTATAGTTTGATACAGCATATTTATGACGAAAAAAAAATACATTGTTTTGAATTTCCATGAGAAAAGCTGCTTGTTGATTTTGCAAACAAATTTTTGGATTATTTTATCATGAATAAATAAAAGATTTAGATTTCTATTTATTAATTAGCTATGAGTAGACAATAAGAATTTTTTAAAAAGTTTAATCTTATAAAATGAGATTTCATCAATAAGCAATTGGAACAAATGACATCTTATGGCGACCTCTTCATAAAAATACAAAACTTTTCATTCATTCATTTGCTTCTTCTTTTTAGTAGTGGCTGGAATTAAATAACGACTCATATTTAGCCCTATATTTTTTTTTGTTTCATGCGAAGAATATCTAGGTCGGTTCTAGTTCGTCATATGTTAAATTTACCTACTTTTTCATTTTTATGTACAAACTTACGATGTTAAATTCATAGAAGATCTATTAAACACATACTATTATAGAAGTTACAATTCAAATGATTTCAAGATTTTACTTTAACAAAATCAAATAATTATAGTTTATATATTTTGAAGACTTAAAATCATCAATTTATATATCTAACAAATTTAATTGAATAAGAATTTCGAAAAATTATTTAATTTTCTTCTAATATTTAATCTTTTTTGTTTTCCAGATGTCTACAAATTCTGGATATAGTGGTCGAGCACCAGCAGCTATTTATTCATGTTTAATCAAAAACAATAGTGATGCTGAAGTTGATGTTCAAATTCAATTTGCTGGTATTGAAGATCATCATGCTGAAATAGCTGATATTGAAGTAGCTCAAGGTGAAGAACAACGTATAGATGAAAAAGAATTTGAACATGATAAATCAGATGGAAAATATCGTAAAACAGTTGAATTAATTCGTGTTCGACGATATGATGGATCAATAATTGAACTCAAAGCACCATTTGATGGTGTGACATCACCAAAAAATGATTGGATATTTGAAATTGGTAATGATTCAATTAAATCTGTTGATCCAAACAAGAAATGATAGACATTTAACAAAAAAAAAAAACTACATTCATGACAACTAGATAATAAAATTTAAATAAAAGATTCCATCAAATGATCTTTTTTTGTTTTTATTCAAGTAAAATTCTTCATAGATCTTTGAAATTTCAATTATTGTTTCTTCTTTTGTTAGATATTTATTATTTAAAATAAATTCATTTTCATAGATTTTTCGTTGTTATATTCAATTAATTTATTAAACAATTCGCTAACTGCTATCACATTCTAAATTTAATATTTTCATGCTGACAACATATCAGAATTATTAATAACTAATGTTATAATTAAATAATTATATTCATTATGAAATAAATCTTTTCATATGAATAACAATGATAATTTTTTATTAAATTTTCAAATATTATTTGTTTTTCTATATCACTTCATGATTTAAATGAAATTCATGTAGACAACCAAAATCAATCATTGATCCTGTTTCATTTTTGACATTATAAATAAAAAACGGCTTACTATAGTCTTGCCACTACCAGAAAAACCAGCAATAAAAATAAAATCGATCATTGAATGTATTAAATATTTAATAGGAAGTTGAAAAAAACAAAAATTTATTTATATTTTTATTTGATATGTAGATAAACTGTAATTTTGGAAGATATGATTATGCATTGCATAAAATGTTCGCTCATTTGAAACAATTGTTGATAGCCAAAAATCAGAGTTTTATACTCTTTTGGAATATATGTAAAAAAATTTCTCATAGTTGACTAAACTTATGTGGAAAGAATACAAAATTCTGATTTCAACGGACTCGTTTTGATTCTCAATAAATTATCAAATACATAAATAGAATCGAAACATGTTGATTATATATTTATTCGTGCTTTTCGTCATCATTTCGTCTATAGAATGTCAAAGAATATAGGTTTCCAACTACAGATGTTCAGGACTCAGATGTTTTTTTGGTTTTGGTCTCGAGAAACATATTTTAGAATTTATTAATATCACATCTAAAAAAATTTTTTTTGGTTCATCTCTCTTCAATTATATTCTGATTGATGATTTATAATATAAGTCACTTAGAATCATACAATTTTGTTGTAGTCCTAGAGGACTGGCATTAAAATTCATCCCGCACATCACTCATTGAACATATACTAAAAGTCACTTGATATGAGACTAATAAACAAAAAACTGACAGTTGCTTTTGAGAAATTTGTGGGGGAGTAACAATGAATTTTAGAATTGAATTCTCTGTTGTTTTCCCTTTGAAGAAATCAATACTTACAAAGGCATAGCCCAATATGATATTCGAGGCAAATATATCGCTTTCAATGAGAAAACATTGGTCCCGATAGAACCGAAATCATTTTACTCATATGTATTCATTACTGACTGCTTGAAGGAAATAATATCATTCATATTTATTTGCGTCTAATTATTTTAAATGTATTAATTATTTCCACGAAACTCATCAAATGTTTGACGTAGAGAACTTGGCACTTACCGATAAATTTTTCGCATCATTACTAAAATAGATTAATCGATAGAAGATAAAAGTGAAACATATTTTATTAATAAAAAGAAAATGTAGTATGATTATACTCGTTATTGTCAATTATTTATCTATAAAATACATGAACAAAACAAAAAAAATTATACATCACTTGACGAATTTATAAAAATACAAATCAATAAGAAAAATATTGTTTAGAATAACTTCTATTTGTCTATATTCATTACTCACAAATTATCTGATGATCAAGAAAAAAATTGTTTGTTCATATGAATTATATAAAAGTTCTGTTTCTTTTTTTTTCTATGATCCATCAATTTGATTGTCTGATTTGTTCTTAGTTGATGATGTCAATAATGGTTCTTCATTTAATTGTGTATCTATAGAAAACAGATTAAAAAGTTTTAACAAAATCAATAATTTATATTTACCAGATTGAATTATAATATCCGATGTATTATTATTTGTATTATTAGTCTGTTCAATCGACTTTTTCGAAGATTGTCTATGTAGAATAAAATAGAGAGAATAGATGACAGCAGCAATTAAATTAAATAATGCAAATATTAGAAAAAGAAGAGGCTGTTGAGTAAATGTGTAGATAAATGATGCAGCTAATAGCCCAATACCACGACCTGTTCAAAAAATAAAAATAAAACGAATAATTTAATTATACAAATAGAACAAATCTTATACCT